GGTGCAGTCCATTTTGTCGTCGGAAGTCATCCGGAGAAGTTCGCATTTTCATCCGTCCTCTAGGCTTAATTAAAGTCCGATTTCGTGCAATTTTGTGAATTTTGTGCATTTGGTGTGTGTATGTGACGAAAAGATCGTGACGAATGTTTTCCTAAAACTTGGAGTCCTATTAGGAACTTTACCTTTAAGTCTTCACAAAATAGCCCATAACCGCTCGTTCGTAAGACAATGATCTTGTGCCATAAATGTTAGACATCAAAGAAAAATAAGAATTGGTTAGAATTTCTAAAAAGATGGGTCTCAATTCTAGTTTTCTAAGATAGTCAATAGGAACTCCTAGAGCTAGATCCTAAGACCCTAAGGAAAAAGAAATGACCTCAAAAATGAGGTCAACATATACTCATCTCAAAGTCTTTGGATGTACGTTCTACCCCTAGACTAGATCACAATTCTCCCATAAACTAGCACAGAGGTCTATCTGAAATTGATGCATATTCATAGGGTATTCATCACAACCCCTCCACCAAGAGAATAGTCATCTATTGACATGTAACATTTGATGTGCTTACCTATCCATGGCCTTCTATACTCAATCCACCTTCACAGAACACCCACCAAGTGTCGTCACTAACTTCTACACTCTTACACGCCCCCACCACCTACCCTCCACCAACAATTCAATGCCCTATGCTACCTCATCCACCCTCAGATGCCCCTCAACCGATCAGGTTCTACAACCTTGTCCCTCACCTCCTCAAAACACATCATTACTCTCTAAAACCCACCCCGTGATCACCCATTTGCAAACATACCACCTCAAACCCATTCAAAATCTCAATCTCTCGCACAAACTTCATCCCTCACCAAACCCTACATGCTATACTCAAGCAGCCATAGTTGCCCAATGACGACTACGTAATAGCTGAGGAGTTTTATGCACTTTAAAAACAAGACACCTGGACACTTGTTCCTCCTCCAACTAACATACAGATTCTTGGCTCCCACTAGATTTACACAACCAAACTAAGTTCTGATAGAACAATAACCTTTTATAAAACAAAATTGATTGCCCAAGGCTACAACCAAGAGCTAGGCATAAATTATAATGAGAGATTCAGTCCGGTAGCGAAGATTCTACATTATTAATGGGAAGTCCTTCAATTTAATGCCTCTAATGCGTTCCTACACGGCACCCTCACAGACACTATATACATGAGTCAATCTCTGAGATTTATTGATCTACAACTTTCAAACATGTGTGCCTCCTTCAAAAAACTATCTATGGTCTCAAACAAGCGCCGAGACAATGGTTCCTTATGCTATCCAAGTTTTTCTTGGATAATGGCTCACCATTAACAAAGCCGACCCCTCCTTGATTCTATATAGTCACAACAATACCAATCTCTTTGTACTTATCAATGTAGATGATATAATGATCATCGGGAACAATTTCAAAACTCTCTCTCAACCGATCAAAACACCAAATTCCACTTTCGAACTCGAGCATTTGAGTCCCATCTCATGTGTTTGGGAATTCAAGCTCACCGGTTTCCCAATTCCTGGTTCTCCTCACTCAAACTACATACCTTTCTCAAATATTGCACAATGCTAGAATGGATGATTGTAACACAGTAAGCAACCCACTTCCTCTCAAGAAGTCCACAACAGTTGAAAACAAAAAGTCGTTTCACAATCCTATGCTCTACCGTCAACTAATCTCTAAGTACCTTACCATCACCAGACCGAACATATTATTTGTTGTAAATCAATTAAGCCAGCATATGTATTCTCCGTCGGATCACCATTTCAGCTACGGAATCTCCTACTTAAGTATCTCACTAGCTCAAAACAATTTGGCTTGCAACTACCAACAGGCGATCTACAACTTCAGAGATATGTCAATGCTGATTGGGCGGGGACAAGTGATCCAACCAACAGAAAGTCTACCACAGGTTCCTGCACATTTTTTGGGCAGTGCTCCAATCTCTTAGACTGTTAAGAAACAAAACAAGATAGCTCGGTCCTCTACGAAGGAGGAATATCAGGCTTTAGTTGCGGCCCTGATCGATATCTTATAGTTGAGACGACTTGGTGTGAACCACACCAAACCTACACCAATTTGCTGTGATAACATATCAGTCATATTGATCATAAACAATCCGGTCTTTCACACAAGGACAAAACATATAGAAATAGATTATCATTTTATCCGGAAACACATTGACACGCAGCAATCTGGAAACACATTGACACGCAGCAAATTCAGCTCCATTACATCAGCTCGCTGGACCAACTTGCGGACATACTCACTAAAGCACTGCCCAAGAAACGATTTCTACAATTAAGAACCAAGCTAATGGTTCACTCAAGTGAACATCAGCTTGCCAGAAAGTAATAACTGAATTCAGACAGATGCCTGCTCTCACTTCCTCTTTGACCTGCTCTCCACTTCCTCTCTGTCATCATTCGGCTTTGCCTAATGGGAAATGCTTACTGCCCAGATTTCTTTCCAGAAATCTCTTTGCTCTCTATATATACTATCAGTGTACACAGTAAGTCTTTTGATGAATGAAGCTTAACATTCATCCATTTCTGTTTATTTAGACTTGCCTGTCTTCATTAAATGCTTCGTACAGTGTATTATTTGCAAAAGATGTAAATCGACAAATTTTCAGAAACAAAAGGATTACCTACCATCGAGATTCAATTGCCCGCTGTCAGATGCAACGGCAGCCACAGTGGCGTAATTCTCCCCAGAAGTAGCAGCAAAAACGGGAATGTTATTAGAAGATTGCTTACAGGCGGCTGCAAATTAAGGCTTTATTAAAATATTAAAAACTTATTTTATTGGGTCAAGCCAGAGGGGGCAGGGGTCCCTACCCCACCCAATAGTAGCTCCACCCGTACAGACAAAGGTGATTTAAATTAATAATCTTGAAAACAATGACCACATAAAGTTTCAAAAACTAATTAGGACACTCTTCTAAAATAACAATTGTGAACACTTGATTGTAACATGAGCTCTATCAAAAACTGTTCAGCAATGAGATAAATCCAGTAAGGTGACAGTATAGAAAGTCAAGCAAACATGAAGTAACAGGTCAAAATTAATCAATGCTGGCATAAAAGGTAAACTAGGACATGAGCAAGCCAGGAATCAGTTTGGCTAGATTCATTAATCATCAAACTGAACAATAATGAGCTCAAATTTATTAAAGAGTTAAACATAATCAACTGGGTTCTTGTTTAGCTCATTTAGGATCTATTTGGGACAGCTTTCTCACAGTTATGCTTTTAAAAGTGCTATCAAACCTATTTTTGGCTACCACTTTTTTGTTGGTTTACAGAAATTTCTATGGTGAGAAATTTTTTTTTTTAAATAACTAGATCAACTTAAATACGATAGTTATGGTAGGAAGCTGTTTTTATAACTAGAAATACTTAAAATACTCGCAACTACTATCACAAAATTTGATTTCCACAACAGCTTTACAACTACATCTACAAACGGTTACAACAAGCCCTTTGTTGACGAATTAGAAAAACCTTTTTCAATCTTACGTCACTCACATAATGAACAATACAAACATGAACATTTATCAACTTAAAGATAAATTATTTACAAACATTGAGCTTTTCTTCACACCCTCTGAAAAAAACAATAATATATTTCCTATCCTAAGGGGGTGATTGGTATACGGACTTGAGAAAGATTTACGCATGATATAATGTAAATTCAACCAAACAAAAAATCGAAGAAATTAAATCTGCAGTTTTGCTAAAGCCAATTATCTTTCCCTTAAATTACTTTTTTTAACGTAAATCTGGATTCTTATATTTGATTATTACGTGTATTTAACAGATTTAGCTTATGAATAAATTCACAGGAGCGGATTTATACCAAACACGGTAAACAAATTTAATGGATTTAACCTAAAATTGAACCAAAAATTATTCTGAATTTACAAAATTTGGATTTGATAACAAATTTACTAAATCATATTTAACGTAAATTTTATAGGCAGCCAAACACCCTCTAAATAATCTTCTATAATTGTAGTGGTAACTGCACATATATAGTTATGGCATCTCAATTGTACCATCCAGTTTGAATGCCAAGATTAAAATTAAATCAAGAAAAACAAAGTGTGATTTCAAACAAAAATCTAGATTCAATCCCAACTTTCCAAAGTTATCAAAATTGGATCGTGATGTACAATTACCTTTGCAAGTTTAGAGGACGCAAGTCCGCCTAATAACTTTGTCCATTGCAGTTCTAGTTACGGTGGCATTTAGCAAACATGAATCCAAATCCTATTAACAATGTGGCCACATCATAACTTTCTATGGAGAGGAATGCCACTTAACCGGAGTCTGGACAGCCTGTCTACGTACCAAATCAACTTTAGGGACCTAGAAAGTATATCTCATAATCCTCAAAAGAAGTTTCAAGCAAACTTCAAGTAACATAAAAGCTTTAAAGTAAGTTTTTTTTTTTTCTAAATATATTAGGCAATGAAGGCAATAAGAACAGGATCCTTAATTCTAGGAGAAATTAATGAGAAAAATTCAAAATGCAAGTGAATAACAATCAATGAAAAAAAGAAGCAATCTTTCCAATCCAACTAAATACGCTCTTAAAAGAAGGAAGATGGAACACCAAAAAGCAACCCAAATGAATTAAAACAATACACTTACAACAAATTATAGAAAATCTACAGATGAACAACTAAGATGTGAAATAATGCTAATCTTTCAAAATTTATCCTATAGTTCCAACCTAGAAGAATTAATCATGAATATAAAAAGGTAAAAAAAACTTTATGTTCACTAAATATACTCTAAATTTGGCCAAACTAGCACATCGTTTATGAAAAACTCATAGCCATATCATTATCTATATCACACCAAAGGCCCAAAGGTGATGCCATGATGAAGAATGCAACAACCATGGACCAGCTATTCAATTCCTTCATAGTTGTGATAAGTAGAAAACTTACAGTGCCGATGATCTTTCTATCAGAAGGATCATATTCTGTCAGGCATCCTCTATAAACAAAATTCCTGCAGCTGAAGCATTTCTGGTGTATATAAATTGTATAATATAAAATACACACCCAATCATCTGATTGGTTCGAGTTGAACTTCCATTCTCGTGGATGAAACATAGTCCGGCCTGGGGGATGTTCTCTTAGGATGTAACAGGTCAACCGAATCATCTTCTTCATCATTACCCAAAACCCAATTACCTCTTAAGGAGTCCCTATCTTTTCTGCTCCGTTGTACTTCCAGATACTCAAGATACAAAACTAAAAGAGAAACAAGAAGAAACCAAATTATCAAGGCCCAAGTAAGCCCCTCAACATTCTCACTATCGTATCTGTTTCCCAGATGCTTCATCCCAGTAAAGAGAGCCACAATTCCAGCAAGAATAGCAAACCTTCCAGTAACAGCATGAAAATATTCCCAAATGACCCTCCTTCGAGAGAGAGCCTCTCCATTAGTCGGCCTCTTAGGCCTCAAATATGCATTTATTGGCTGTATACAAGCCAAAACTATAGCTGCCACCCCAAACTTGACATGTGGTGAACTTATATAAAACCCTCGGAGTTCAGCAGCAGCAAATAGAACACCAAGCAAGACTATAGCTATCCCTGAGTACTGTAGGTAGACATGTGTCTGATACCAACTATCACCTTTAACATGTTTCAAGTATCTTGCAGCCATTATCCCCCCTGGTAGTAAGATGCCCCAAGCAATAAACATCATGAAGCCATGAACAGCAAGAACTGGGCGCAAATCCTGCTCTGCCTCTGCTGAACCTCGAAGTAGCAAGACACGAACTGGCTTGCTGCTAGTTACAGAATGCATATTTTTCTCACTTAAACGTTCTGCTGACCATCGAGCACCCATGGCCCATATTACCTTTAAAGGGGTAGTTGGATCAATTATATTCTTACACTCAACCCTTCCATTACAATAAGGATTGAGAGGTCTAGTAAACTCAAAGGTTATGATGCCATTTTCTGACCTGCATCTCACATAGGTTAAGTTTTCAGAAGTTGGATGAACACTTGATGGATCTTTTCCATCAATCCAATAAGTGTTAACATGTCCAACACCAACATCATCTATCCAACCAATATATACATAGCTGTCGACCATCCCACTCCCAAACCCAATTGCAAGGTAACTGCTCTTTTTCTCACCACGAGCTGCAAGAGTAATTGAATGATCAGATAAAGTCCAGAATAATGTTACCTGCTGATCATCCAACAAAACACTATTGTTGTACATATCAGATAGCCCGCCATCAACCACCTGAACTTTCCAACCCATTTTCTGCTCAAAGAATGACTGATAATAAACTTGGTCTGGAGTATTCCTGTCAGGAGCCCAAATTAACTCCTTTGGACTGGCTGGAACACCTTCAGCATCAACTCCACCAGCAAAGATGGTCTCTGACATATTACGAGAAGATGCATTCCCCCCAATAGGATCTGATGTAATGTAAAGCGCAAGATCATGACCCGCTTGTATTGAAAAGGTTACTGGAACACCCCTTTCTACTCTTAGATGAGGAGCCTCCTTCTTGTTGATGTAAATAACTCTATCTGGGTTAGGAGGGTTCGGGTAGTGCAATGCAGGGCCTGCTGTCACAATCAGTGGCGTCTTCCCATCAGCTATGATCAGATCCTGGTCTTCCTTGTCTTTTGCATCCAATGGCCCAGCGCATTCATTGACCTCCTTTGACAAATTAAGGGTAAAGAAGCCATAAGTGGTGAGCTTTGGACCACCATGATTCTGGGGAAGGTAGTAAGGATGGAGAGTATCTGGTGGTCTGATTAGACCTAGCGCCCAAATCACACTCATATTACCAGTCTTGTTCACAGGAATGTCATACTTCTCATCCCTAGAAACAATGGGACGCTCATACCTCACAAAAGCAATGCCATCCCGCCGGTGTCCATAGACCAATTTGGTGTTGTTCACCAATCCAATAGGATCGGAGCCCTCATAGATGGTGTCCGGGCAGACACCCTCAACCTTCCCATCTTTGTTAAGAAGACACTCACTGTATTCAGTGATGAAATAGTCCTCTGCAAAAGGAATTCCCTCCTCACTAAACCCAGCCACGACAATATCAGCATGCATCATGGTAGGAGTTGCAGCACCAGGATCCGCCCACCCAAACGCCATGTAGTACTGCGAGCCAACGGCAGCTTCAAGGCCAATGGCAATGGAGTTGGATTCCGATAGAAGTGTCCAACGGAGACGGTAATCAGGCGACAAAGCCAGGCAATTATCGAACATCGTGGGCTGTGTGTAGATAGACCGCCTGCTGGTTGGCGGAGCATCAATAGAATCGGAGTTCGGTGAAGGGGCAGGGGAAATATCGGGAGTCGGCGTGAGTATATCAGAGTAGTTGGAACCGAGTAGGAGGTGACCGAAATCGGAAGCGGTAGGCTCGTCCCAGACGGCTAGAACGGACATCTGGTCCCAGGAGACGTTCGGAAGGAGGCGGACGGTGAAGGATTCGTTGCCATAGGTGTGGTTGAGGTTCATATTTGAGATCTGGAAGCCTAAGGTGAGGTTGTGGAATGAATCACCAGAGGCGCCCCACCACCGCACACGATCAGATCCAGGGAGCATATCGAATTGGCTGACGGAGAAGGAGCATCCGTCAAGGATGCGGACGACGCCGCGGAGCTGGTGCTGGACCATGGAGAGGTCTGAACTGAAACCGGAGAGGGTGGTGTTCTCCTTGCAAATTGAGGCGAGGGAATAAGGTATTAGGAAGAAAAGAAAAAGGGGCCATGGCCGATCCTCCATTGACCACCTCGGAGAAGAGCAGAATCACGGAGAAAAGCCTAGGTTCCAAGACTTCGATCGGATCGGGATCAGATACTATCGCTTGGTGTTGGGGCAAAGTTAGGGCTTGGATTTCGGAAGGTAAGAAGCGTGTGAGATACTACACGCTGAGGGAAGCCATATTAGTGGACGCTGCTTTCGCAGGAGGCAACTCCGAGACGCGATGGCGCGGGTGGGGAGTCCGAGGAGGAGACTTCTGTGTAAAACTCGTTTTGTCCATTTTTTTTCCCTCATTTTTCTTATGGATGTAAATAAATAAATAATTGACGATTAATTGAGGAGGAGAAATTTTGATGAGTGCTTAATTATGTTGTTACGGCAACGGGTATAACTAGACTTATTTATAATAATTCTTGACATGTTGCGTGTTTCCACGACTCATTAATTACTTGTATTCGTGAAGATCGCCCCCATTGGATGGTTTCAAGACGGACTCCTTTGTGTCGTGCACGCAAAATAAAGTAAATATTATTGGAATGTAAAAGCTGATATTCATTTAAAAATATAACTAATTGTTAAAAAAAATGACATTCCCTATTTTATATCATATCGATATGGATGAATTGGGACTTTCTCATATGCCCTAGTTTATATCATCTTGATATAAATGAATTGGGACTTTTTCATATGACTAATGAAATTATTATTATTATTTTTTTTTTAATTTATTCTTTGAATCACACCAAAAGAATAGAACATGAAATTGAAGATATTAAAAAGAGTGAGAAAGGGAGTGTGCATAATTAAAAATAGATTCATTCTAGAGTGAATGATTAATCTTTCAATGTATAAATGACCGCCCCAGCATAAAGTGGAAAAATGCATGGTTCACTCACTTTTGTGAGGGTATTACAGGATATTTTAGGCATATAGAAAATAAATGAGTCAATGTTTCGGCTACCATAAAACTCGGTCGGTTGGGATCTTTAATCCTTGGGTCGGCGAGGCTCATTCAGCCAATTCTGTTGAGTTAGGGCAGTTGGTCGACTCTAGTGATCGTTCCATTATTCGGACTTCACTCGGTCAGCTTGAGTTGGTTGGTCTGTTGTTTCGTTTCTACTGTCGACTGTTGAGCCTTATATGGTAAACTCATATTTTTGGGGTGAAATTAGGTTGTCGGCCATATGGTGAATCATTGAAATTTAACAGGTATTCTACCCCTTTATAAGGTGATGCATTTAGAGTTCTCAGTAAGTATTCAGTGATGAAAACCTTAGGCCTCCAGAAGAGTCTTAGAGACTACTGCGAGGCGTTTAGTGATATTTGGATGAGAGCTGGACTAATTCCTTCTCTCGGTTAGATGAGCCTCTATGATTGGCTCAGATAGTCTTCATTTGATCAGCTCAATGTTCTATTCTAAGGATGTAGTAACTGGTCAACTGAATCATTTGTTTTTGCTGGCGTGGTTCTTGTTCTCTTATTGATGGGCTTTAATTGATCATATTTTTATCTTTTAATCTTTTGGTCCATTAAATTTTCTTGAGTTTAATGTTGATACAATTCTAACATACATATTTAATTCATTAATTCTCTTACTTCTAAAAAATCATGTTGTGATAAGAACAAGAGAATTTATTGTAAAAAGTAAATTCAATTATTTTTTATTCATTACTTTAATAATTGGACTTCTTGTGCTTACGTGTCTATGCCCCCCTATAAATAAGGTATGGTTAGTGTTTTTGTTATCCTCATTTTTTGAGTTTGAGTAGTTTAGTCGGCTGGTTTAGGAGAGTCTCCATGGCGAGTGGCAAGAAAACCCTTGATAACCTTATTACCAAGGAAATATTAGTAAAAATCTTTGGTGACTCTGCATCACAAGTCCCCAGGAGAAGGAGCTTGAAAAGAAAAGGTTGTAAAATGGAGGTATTGATCTCAATTTTCTATATAGATAGAAGTAAAATGCGATGTATGCGATTAATTTCCTTAATATATATTTTTAATTTGCAATGGTTGCCAAAAACTTGATCCAAAGCAAATGATAGATAAATTTTTCACTATGAATCAAATAAGAATGCAGTTATAATATTTCAATATGGGATACTACACAAGTATATGTATCGTTATCAAGTAATATAGAACTTTTCTGATTAAGTCCCGAATAAGGAACCCACGGGAAGAATTAGTTTTAGATGACAAAATACTTAGCAATTTATATTCTTACTCAAACTTAAGATGCTAAATTAGGAATGAAAGTACGATTCGTTTTGTAATTTTTGTTTAATTTAAAAATAAAGTAAGCAACTAATTAACTTAACTAAAATACTTGCAAGATGAAGACAAGATATACTTGCAAGATGAAGACAATATAAGTAAAATATCTTTTTCTTTATCATGAATCAGTGATAAATATAAAAATTTAGTTGTGGAAGTACACTAAATGTGTTATGTTAAATAGAAGCAATAATATTATTTACTCTTACTAGAGATGCTATAAAGAACATTGGTTAATCTATAGTTTGAATAGTCTTGAAGACTGGCTAGGCAGATAAAAATATTAGCTCTCACTCTAGAGTTTCCTCTTCTCCCTTCACCTGGGGGCTAACATCTTGTATCAAAACCTAAAACTATAAATCAAATTGGGGGCTTTAGCCTATCACTCTAAAGTCTTCTAATTCTACATCATTTGCACTCAACCCCATGAACTACATTCTCATTCATGAAATCAATATGTGATTCCAACCATTTGTTGACTGAGACAAAATCATCTCGGATCTTACATGTTCTCACAACAGGTATTAACATCTTAATTGGCTAAACCACGAAGTAAATGAAGTGTAAGGTCTTGAATCATCACAACTTCTTCCAACATTGAAGTTTAATACTTCACACAACTTCCTTTAAACATTTAATCACTTATCATTTTAAGGAAAAAATATAAAGAAAACTACTCAGAATTCATGGAAAAAATACAACCACATGAGAATTTAAAAGTAGAAATTATGTACACAAACAAGAAATTTAAATTAAAAACTAAGTGTAATCACAAAAATAAACACTTATCTCAAATTATCTCCACCAAATATTCTCCACCCAAATTATCTCCACCAAATATCTTGAAGTTCCTTTGAATTATCTTCCTTCTCTCACAATACAAACTAATACTCAAAATAAAATAAAATAAAGGTGGTCGGCAGTAACGACAGTAATGTGAGCTTTTGGTGGGTGGTTGTTGGCCTCCTCTCTTGGATAATTTGTCTTTTCTTATAAAAATCCAAGGGGTGCCTTGGTATCTCTTCAAAAAAGTGTTTCATTCAATTAATCTTCTGGAATTTGTCTCCTATAAGCCAATTGAATGAATTTTCGTGTCCATGGGTTATTTCTCGCGTTTTTATCAAGGGTTTCTTCAAACTCCTCTTCAAAATTCCGCTTCAATTAATATTTCTTCAAATAAATAACTTTGGCGCTTAATCGCAGGTACCTGGCACTTAGGCATGGATCTGGGCACTTAGGTGCGCCAGTTCATTTTGCACATATCTTCATTTTTGCTCCAAATTTGACCATTTTTCACTCCTTGTAGCATATTCTATCAATTTGATTGTACATATAAGAAAAATACAAAAATATCTTTCATTTAAATGCAATATCTCAAAAATAGATATAAAAATGTGTATAAAAGTACTATTTATTTTAGGTTTATCAGGTACCTTCCTAGAGGGTGAGAAGTCTGGAACAAAGAAGCTAGGAGAATGGAATCAACCTAATGGCGCAAAAAAGCTCAAAGCTACAAAGAGGTTGAGAGAAGGTAGCCGACCCAAAGGTGTGAGGAGAGTTAAGCAACTCGCTTAGAAGAAGGAATTAATGAAAGATATTAGGGACGAGGTGGTGTCATCCAACTTGCTGATAATTTCTAGTAAGAGAAAGGAGGCCAACATGCTACTTTGTCCATCCTTAAGCCTGTTCAAGCCAGCATTCAACCAGCTGAAAAACCTACCCAGGGGATGGCCGAAGCTTCACTATTTGAAGATCAAAGGAATGTGATTTTGAAACCAGACTTTGGTACTCAATAGAGAGAGCCTCGCAAATTTAGAGGCTTGCAGTTCTGAAGCTAGACCTTGGTCGAGAAGTTACGGGCCCCATGTCGATGCCTGGTGAAAGTTGTCCCTTACTCTAGCGGTCTGAGTTAAATTGATCCATAGGTATTTGGTGATGATCTATTGTGATTAGAAGTTTCTCTTATGTAAGAACACTTGTTTGTTGATACAGCCGACGTGGTCTTAGGCGCTGTTTCATTGCTACCAGGTGTCATGCATGTTACTACTTCTTGTGCAGCTGAGGGGACCTTGGCCTAGGCATAGAGCAAGGAGGAGGCAGCCAATATCCCGACCGACCCTCAAGAAGGACAAGAGAGGGGAGCTCACAACCCACAGCCTGATTTAGAGGTGGAGGTGCTCTAGGAGGAACTGGCAAATGTGTGGTTGTTTTTCTCGGATCTTCTTAGATCTCGGAGTCGTCAACTTGTCTACTTATTTGTCGTCGTACAATTTTTTTTATTTGAATAAGTCTCCCTCCCGAATCAAATGATTGACTTAAAGAGGAGAGGAATCAAATAACAAAATGGCGTACGATAACAATTAGACAAACAAATCAAAAGAAAAGAGACGGAAGGCTTGCATATGGGTGATCCTCGTGTGATGAGTCGAAAGTATACGTCCAAACAGAAACGGATCGAAATACCCCGGAAAACAACATCTACAAGTAGAATCTCTATATAAGTCACCAGTAACCAGAGAACAAAAAAGAACATTTTTTTTTTGGGGTCAAAAGTCTCCTAGAGGAACATATTCCTACTAGTTAATTACATCCTGGGGAATACCCAAGAAGACTCTCAATGAAAGGAGTTTCGCTTTATCATCATGAATCTGGGGCATAGGTTATCAAAAGGTGATTATTTTGTATGGAATGGTCTTAATGCTTTGAAGCTCACACCAAACCATCAGACAAAAAGTAAATCTCTCATATCCAAATGGATAGCGGCTTCTCAGCACACGGTACCTATAAAATAATTATAGATCACTTGACGGGGACATCCCGATACGTCATAGCACATCCGGGTTGTAAGGGCAGAGCACAAATCGTCGTATCCCAAACGAGTGGCAGCCTATCAGCATCGGTCCGTCAAAGTGATATCAACGAGGTCAAAAGAGCAGAGAGGGCTCAACAGGGGTAGTCAAAGGTGGAGAGAAGTAATCCTAAGAGGTAAAGGTAGCCAAGTTGGGGTACCACGGACCCGTCATCTCAAGCCACTAGGACCTTAAGTATGTCTAATCGTGAAGCT